CGAGTGATGATGTCAACACCAATGCCGACCTCCACCATCACCAGGTACGTGTCCTCTTCCCCACACTCTCCCTTGTTACCCACACAGCGCCCTTCACCTCCGAAGAACCACCTTCGCCCTTCACCCCTCTGCGCCCTYTGCAGCCCGGCTATGGYCGCCAAGCGCCCTATCTGYAGGCAGCGCCCTACCGCCTAGCGCTAGCCTGCGTCCCTCAGCCTTAGCGCAGCGCARCATGCATGCAACGCAGCAGCRTGCCGGCCTTGCTCGCAATGGCCAAGCTCCAGCCCACTCGCCCTGCTTGCCTATATGCCAGTGCTGCSTGTGGGCGGCCTCMCTTCAGCCTGCRACAGGGCCCCAGTGGCTGAACCCAGGCCCATTACAGTTGGGGCCCGRGAGATGCAKTTGTGCCTCTCTCGTCAAGGCCTGCGGCCAGATTCAGACAGTGGGCCGGTTTCCCTTTGCATTTTCGGCCTCTATACCCAGCGTGCATTGTCGGGCTCACGTTCAGGAGCCCAGGGCCTAACTAACTCAGAGGCCYTGGGCATKTCAGCATTCGCTGAGATCCGAAACTCGGTGCACTCCAACCAACTGGCGTGCTGCAACTGTAAGGACCCCACTTCGTGAAATGTATGCACAGAGGGCTATTGTTGATTTGCTGGCCCGTCTTCACTTAGGGCGGGCACAAGGCTTGCTGGGGCCTTTGCCCAGAACATGTACATCATGGCAAGGCCCCTTCTTGAGGGCTCATTCCTCACATTCCATCCCCCTTAGCTTCGAAAGTCCGCTGAGATGCTTACTTCGCAGGTGCCTTCCCTTTTAGCTTCCTTTCATAATCTGCCACCACCTGAGGAGCTGTTTCCATCAGTTCCTCCCGGGTAAACCACCGATCTTCTTTTGGATCCGTATGATGCCTGAATCTGATCCGGTACTCTCTCTTGGGTTTAGGAGGTCTTCCTCGACCCAGCGGCTTCTGAACAGGCATATCCCTGTGATCCGCAATGTCGTCGATGTCGACTTGTCCATCCATGGTTGGGGGCAGCATCGATCTCCTGGAAGGGAATTGATCAGTCTCAGCGAAAGGTGCAAGCTTTGAGGCATGAAAGACTGGGTGAGTGCGTAGGTGTCCAGGAACACGAATGACATATGTGGGACCATCCAACTCATCTCCCACTACATCCAAGACTTCCCAGGGACCAAAGTACTGAGGCATTAGTTTGCAAGATATTCCGAACTCCTGTCCTAACTCACTAGCCTTGACCCAGACAGTTCCCCTACCTGAAATGTGGACTGTCTGCGATGTTGATTCTCAGAAGCAATCATGGCTTGCTGAACCTTTTTCATATGTTCAACAGCCTCTTGCAGCAACTTCTCATATTGCACACCGTATTCAAGTGTGCCTGGAGTTGCAGCAGGTCGGTTTTCGGGTAGGAGGAAGTCTAGTGCTGATCTAGGCTTCCATCCTAAGTGCAGCTGGTTAGGACTAACGTCGGTACTACTATGTATAGCATTGTTGTACAGGCTGGCAATGAGAGGTAACTGCTCATCCCAGTCATCCTGGCTGGGCTTGATGTAATGCCTCAGCAAGTGTTGTACAACTCTATTCATTTGTTCGGCCTATCCGTTGGCTTCGGGATGATTCCCTGAAGTCATCTGAAGTTGACTGCCCATCTGTTCCGCAGTCTTCTTCCACAGCTCACTTGTGAATCGGACGTCTCGGTCACTAATGATGGTCTTGGTAAACCAAAGTCCCTTACCCAGTTGTCCTTGAACAACTTGATGACGTATTTTGTCCTGGCTGTCTCTGGCATTGGTACTAGTCTAGCGTACTTGGTGAATCGGTCAATAATGACGAAAATGTGCCTCTTACCACTCTTGCTGGTCACTAGGGTGTCCATGAAATCCATGGAAACACTCAATCTTGGACCATCAGAAATAGGTAAAGGCTTCAACAACCCAAGCAGTGCTTGAGTTCGCGGCTTGTCCCGCTGACAGACCTGACAGGTCTCAACAAACTTCTTTGCGTCATCTAGCATTCTGGGCCACAAAAATCGTTGTACTAAGTTTGCACTCGTCTTCTTGTAGCCAAAGTGCCCAGTTACGTCATGACATTCGCCTAAAAATAAACTACGCAACTGTTCACTAGATGGAACTACCAATCTCTGTATTCCGGCCTTATCAAGATAGAGTAGCCCGTCCACCATCACGAACTCACTTTCTGTGGCCTTGTCTTTTGCCTGAAGTTTGCGGATGATGTCCATTGTGACAGGGTCTTCCTGATAGGCTCCCACCAATGATTGAGTTACTTCTTCCGATACGCCAAAGTCAGAAACTAGCGTACCTAGGTAGTCTGCTCTACGGGATAGCGCGTCTGCAACCTTGTTGTACTCTCCCTTCAGGTACTCAAGCTTGAAGTCATATTGGTCTACGACCTCAATCCATCGCTTGAGTGCATCAGAAAGAGCCGGTTGAGTCTTGATCCATTTGAGGGTCTGATGATCAGTCCTCACCAAGAAGAACCTTCCCAAAAGGAAGTGTCTCCAATGGACAAGTGCCTTGTAGAGAGCATAGAGTTCCCTTTCGTAGGTGGACTTAGCCAATTTCTTCGACGGCATCTTCTTACTCATGTACTCGATCGGTCTCAACTTTTTCCCATCCTGCTGAGCCAGCACTGCCCCAATGCCGTATTGGCTTGCTCAGTGGTCACTATGAATGGCTTCTACGGATCGGGAACCGTGAGGACCTTATAATTCATGAGTGCATACTTCAATCTCTTGAAAGCACCCTCGCACTCATCACTCCAGCCCCACGGTGTGTCAAGTCGAGTTAGATCAGTCAAAGGAGAGGCGACTGTAGAATAGTTCTTAATGAAATTTCTATAGTAGCCACACATTCCTAAGAATGACCTGACCTCAGTGACTGTCTGAGGTCGTGGCCAGTCTCGAATACTAGCCACCTTCGCATCTTCCGGCCTAATTCCCTCCGCGGATACTTCATGACCCAAGTATAGTATCTTAGTGCGACTGAATTCACACTTCTCTAAGTTGACCTTATACTTGTGCTGTCGAAGGAGTGAAAGTACCGTCTCCACATGCTGTGCATGCTCCTCGGCAGACTTACTAAAGATCAGAATGTCGTCTAGGTAGACCACGACAAACTTATCTAAATGGTCATGGAAGATCCGATTCATAGCGTGCAGGAATGTACCCGGCGCATTGCAAAGACCAAAAGGCATCACTACAAACTCATACAGACCATATCTAGTCTGAAAAGTTGTCTTGTGTTGGTCCTCAAGTCTTATTGCGATCTGATGATATCCGGATTTCGAGTCTATCTTAGTATAGTACTTGCATCCCTGCACCCTATCCAATAGGTTGTCTTTGCGTGGTAGAGGCTCTGCGTTCTTCACAGTGATGGCATTGAGGCCTCTATAGTCAATGCACATCCTCAAAGTACCCCCCTTCTTCGGTACGAATAGAACGGGTGATCCGTAGGGGGAAGTACTAGGCCGAATCCAACCCTTCTCTGTCAGCTCCTTAAGCTGTCGCCGAAGTTCATCTAACTCGGGGGGGGGGCATCCTATAGATCCTTCCCTTTGGGGTCTTACTCCCTGGAATGATTTCTATAGCGTGGACGACTTCCCTTTCAACAACTCCTGTGGGCTCCTCGAACAGATCAGGGAACTTAGCAACGACGAGTTCTATCTTTGGGGCTGTTTTAATGGCCTCTCCCTTCTCAGAGACATAAACTAGGTACATACCCTCCTCTTCGTTTTGCTTGCAATAGTTGTAGAATGCGGATGCGCACAAGCAGCCATAGGTATCTATAATACTACTAGCCTTGAACTTGGTCAATCTGACAGTTCGGCCATCGGGCAACTTGTGTTTGAGCACCTTCTTATCCCAGTCAAACTGGGGCTTAGCAACTTCGAGGTAGTACATGCCTAATAGCATATCGAATGGCAAGTCGTCGCTAACCAAGAACGAGATCTTATGGTTAAGCTCACCTCCTCCATAGGCGAAGGTACAGACTACGTCCTTGATGTAGTATGTTACAATCATGCGCTCCTTGTTTGCCAAAGTAGATGCTACAGACCTACTAAGGTGCCGTACCCGGTCCTATAGGTGCAGCCTTCCCAAACAGTCGCGACTTATGTAATTCCGCGTGGAGCCTATGTCTATGAAGACACCACATTTGCGGCCTCCTACATCGACTTCCACCACGAAATGTTCCCCTCTAGGACCTTTCCTCAGCGCCACCCAAGACTCGCGAGGGTCCTTGTTTGACCACTCACTCTCCAAGTCCTCTAAGGCTTCAGACACATCTAACGTACAGAGCATAGTTTGGTCTAGTTGTGTCTGCGGGGTGACTAAGGGGTCATTAGCCTTGGCCTTGTCATGAAGTGGGGAGGGTATCAATCCCACTTCATCTTGAGTCGAAGCGGCTAATACTTCCACTGGCCCTACGCGTTTCCCGAGCAAGAAGCCTGGGAGTAGGTTGCCCCCATCTTTGGAGCTACCTTTTGCGTAACCTTGGCATTCTGACACTCATACTGCGAGTGTCCGTACTCCCCGCAGTTGATACAAGCACCACGCGTTCGGCGGTCACGCCACACGTCTTGTTCAAGACCTGCCTTTACCCACTCAGCCTGCTTGGTCTGATTGGAGGCGGCCTTCCCTTGACCCCTAGGCTGGCCCTTTCCTCGGCCTGCCGCCTTAGTCTTAACTACCGCGGCGAGGGTGCTACCCTCAGCTACCTCCTCGCCGTCATACTTTGAGTAGTCCATCAGGTCAGAAAGCTCATCGATCTCAGTTTGAGTCCCATGAGACTCAACCATCATCAACTTTGCCCTCTTCTTCTTCCACTCCTGAGGACTCTTCTTCTTCTTTGAGTCAGTCTGTGAGGTGGGTTGAGCATTGCCTAGAGTGGCCTCCAAATCTAAAGCCTTCCTAGACAATGTCTCAAACGAATGATACTCTGTGCGTGCCTCGCTGGCCAGCAAATTCCTGATGTTCTCTGGCAAACATCTAACAAACGTTGTTAACAGGAACTGGTCACTGTAGTTGATGCCTGGGACGAGGATCATTCTCTCAACGGTAGTCGTAAGCTCTCTAACTTACCGGAACTTGCGTTGGTCTAGTTTATTTATGGCATCAGTGGCCCTTTGCGCCTCCTGTGGGTTATGCCATCGAGCTTCTACCATTTCCATGAACTGGTCTAGAGTCAAAGACTTGGCCCAGTTCGCCATGCGTCGCCCGTACCCTGCTTTCACAACTACCCCATCTAGCCATTTGGCTGCCTTACCCTCGAGGTAAGATGCAGCAGTTACCACTTCGTCCTCTAGCAAGGTCCTCTTGGCCTTCACCCAAACCGGGACCGTTCTCAACCATGTGTTGAGTTCTTCGTCCTTCCTCTCGCCTGAGAAGGCAAGAGGCGGTTTCATTGGGGTCTTGGGGTACCATTGACCTTGCTGCTGTCCCTGTTGAGAGACAGGTTGTTGCGGTGGTGTAGCAACCACCGCTGGACCCGAAAAAGAAGATGCAACAGTCTGTGCGGCTGCTGCAGACGTACCACTTGGTTGTGTGCCAGCTTGAACCGGAATGGGCCTGACATCGCCGACAACGGCAATGGCGATTGTGCTGGTGGCCGGAATCCTGGCTTGGTCAAAGCGTCCAGGATCTGGTCTAGAGTGCTTTGCATGAAATCGAATCTGTTGTCCACATGCGCATGCAGCAACAGCATATTCTTCTTCAACACTTTCATCTGGGCATTCATTGTTGCCTCATCCAAGCTCTCTAGTTCAGCCTTGTCAGCCTCTAAAGTTTCAAGCCTGGCTGCTCTAGTTTTTATTTCATTTTCTCTATCGGTTGCTTCTTTCAGGTTCTGCTCTAACTTACGGCGAAGCCTCTCGACCTGTTGGATCTCTCTGAGTTCCCGCTCACGTGCGGTCATGGGGCTGAACTGCGAGCCTGCCATTTGACTAGAAGACTGTCTAGAACCTGTGGAACCGGAAGTGCCCGAGGAACTTGTGGAACTCGTTGGCATTCCCAACGGGTTCCCATTAGTCCCTGACGAGGACGCAGACGATGACGCAGCAGAGCTTGCGCCGTTAGCCATCGCAGCTGCTCTAGCTGCTGTTGCCTGCTCTCTTGCTGCTCTGTTTGCTTCTGCTATCCCTGCTGCTAGCGCACGGGCTTTTCGTAGCCTTCTTTCTTCTTCCGGCTCCAAGGCCTGGAACACGTGCGGTACCCTTAGTGCCCTTGCACGTGTTAGCCTCCTACTGTCAGCTCTATCATCAACAGGGTCTGACCCACTCATTAGTTAGACAGATAGTGTTTACACTAGAATCCTCTAATGGAATCTTACCGCAACATGTACCTGACCGGCACGTAATTTTCTATAAATAGTTGTGTCCGGCAAGTTCCCTACTATACCGAATCAAGTGGCATGTCTACAACATTCACACAGATTGTCTACATAGTCTAGATGCACCCTGATTGGTTCACTTACAGCAGCATTAGTTAGAACTGGCTATGGTAGCATACAACAGTCCTACACTAATCTGTCTGTGAGGTTAGCAGTCTGTCAACCAACTAATCAAAGGTACAAAAAGACAATGTAGCAAATGTATGATTGATGGGTATGGTTGTGTATACAGTTGAGCACCAATTGGAACCTACCCTTCCCCTCAATCCAACATACCGAACAGCATCTTGAGCAAAACAGTGTTTTCGTGTGTGTATCGGCCCACCCCTGTGGCCCAAGTTGTCACCGAGCAAGCCAGCCCAACCACTCTTATTTACCCTCGTACGACGACGAGCCTTCCTGTGACGGACCCGCCGGGATGGCGGTCCGTCAGGATCAAGACGAAGGGATGAGGATGGGGGAGATGGAGATGGAGCTGGAAGGGACAGCGCAACTCCAATGCAGACTCAACACGCACATACTTCAATCTGTGCAAATGAAGAATGAATCAAAAGCAGACTACAGCTGGGGTATACCCCCAGCGGACTGACTGACTGGACTGGCCTGGTACCGACAGTGGTACTGGGTAGGACTGGAACATCACACGGCCTGTGGGGTCAGGCCACGGCCTGGTCCCACAGGCCGAACTGGCAAATAGCCAAATAGG